AACATATGATTAAATGTAAAATCAAACTCACGAATCGCTTTGACGATATTTGCAGACTAACCAAGAGCAGCTGTGATGCAGGATTTTTCAAAAGTCCAAGATCAAATCAATGTAGTATAAAAGATTGTTGAACCTACAGAGAACTAATTGATCTATAGCACTAAGAATATATAAACTTTCCTAATCTAAGCAAACAAGAAGATATATGATTTGTAACAAGCTAAGATCCTAAAAATATAAACAAAAGTGATCTCAAATCCAATCAAGAAATAAATGCAAGAATAACTTTCAATCAAATGATAAGGTAGAAACCATGAGATTAAGACAATTGATCTAAATCAATTAAGGTTTCAATCAAAATGTATTCTTAAGTCTAAACAACTTAACTAAGCAAGTTCTAGGTCTAGACAAATGCTCATTTGCTTCACTAATCAAACACAAATGGTCATTGGCTTGACTAATTAAAGCAATCATTAAGGGTAGTTTTAATAAGTATCTAAATCTTTCTATATACAAATGGTCATTGGCTAAGAAGTCTTAAAGCTAAGGAGAGTTGGTTCAGTCATTTCAACATACACCTTGTGAGCATGAAATGACCAAGCTTCTTCGTCGTGAGAAGACCAAGCCGAGAGCTTCATTCGTCATCACGAGCACACCACCTCTCTACCTCCGCGTCTCATTCCCAGATCCAAGCCGTGGTCTTAGGTGCTCGAGTCTCGTCGTCGTCGAGCTTCGCCGTGGTTGGAATCAGCCTCGCCGTCAACCAGATCGTGAAGCTCGTGTCTACCATGGTGCAGTTTCGCTTATTTGCTAATCTAGCCCCCGACAGTTTGCTTCTTTTCACTTGGACTCTAGAACTTTTGGAATGTGCAGAAAAGCCTCCGAATTGGCCCCTGAACTTTAGATTGTGTAATTTAACCCAGCCGAATATAGAGAAATTGCAGTTTTGATCCCTGAATTCTTGTAATCTTTCGTTTCTGCCCCAAAGGTTTCTCATTTGCACAATATCCTTTCAAAATTGACTCTAAACATTCCAGTTGTGCACTCCACACCCTGATACACACAAATGAACATATATATGCAAATGTAGACCACTAAATGCAATCTAAAGTGATTAAAAAAACTAAAAAAAATTCTAAATATTATTAAAACCATGCTTTATCAAGATGGATGAAACGGCTTCCAAACACGGTGAAGCCAATCCACACTCTTGGCCCCAATATTTTCTTCTCCTAAAGTGACACAACACGTATATGATCCTTCTTCTTTTACTCTTAGGGTTTTCAAGTAATTTAGGAAGCTTTAATACTTATTCATGATTGCCTTCATGATATTTAAAGACTGACCAATTGCCGCTGGATGAGACGGTCCAAACACGGCGAAGCCAGTCCACACTTTTGGACTCTGGTATTTGTTTCTTCTAATGTGACACAACATGTATATGATCCTTCTTCTTTTACTTTTGGAGTTTTCAAATAATTTAGGAAGTTTTAATACATATTCATGATTGCCTTCATGATTATAGACTGACCAAGAGCCGATGGATGAGACGGCTTCCAAACACAGTGAAGCCAATCCCCACTCTTGGGCTCTATTTTTTTCTCCTCATGTGACACAACACATATATGATCCTTTTTCTTTTACTTTTGGATATTTCAAATAATTTAGGAAGCTTTAGTACATATTTTTGATTGCATTCAAGATATTTGCAGACTAACCAAGAGCCGCTAGATGAGACGACTTCCAAACAAGGTGAAGCCAATCCACACTCTTGAACCCTTGTATTTTCTTCTTCTAATGTGACACAACAAGTATATGATCCTTCTTGTTTTACTTTTGGAATTATCAAGTAATTTAGGAAGTTTTAGTACATATTCATGACTGCCTTCATGATATTTGCAGATTGACCAAGAGCCGCTGGGTGAGACGGCTTCCAAACACGGTGAAGACAATCCACACTCTTGGACCCTGGTATTATGCTCTCCTAGTGTGACACAACACATATATGATCTTTCTTCTTTTACTTTTGGAATTTTCAAGTAGTTTAAGAAGCTTTAGTACATATTCATGATTACTTTCATGATATTTTCAGTCTGACCAAGAGCCACGGGGATGAGATGGCTTTAAAACACGCTGAAACCAATCCACACTCTTGGACTCCGATATTTTCTTCTCCTAATGTGACACAACAAATATATGATTCTTCTTATACTTTTGGAGTTTTTAAGTAATTTAGGAAGCTTTAATACATATTCATGATTTTCTTTATGATATTTGCAGAGTGACCAAGAGCTGCTGGATGAGACGGTTTCCAAACACGGTGAAGCCAATCTACACTCTTGGACCCCGGTCTTTTCTTCTCCTAGTGTGACGCAACACATATATGATCCTTCTTTTATTATTTTGGAGTTTCCAAGTAATTTAGAAAGCTTAGATTATCGGTTTATGCCATTTAAAATTATTTCTTTATTTTTCTGACTATATGATACAAATATACTTCTGATAAATATTATTTTAGTTTTAATTGAGCCACACATTTTGAATTATATATTTAGTTTTATAGTTAATCAGAAGATATAAATATTTTTGAAAATATGATATTAGAAAATAATTTCATGTATTTAAATACATTTTTGTTTTTATTTCCGTTCCTTATCATTAGATCAAAAATATATTATAAATATTTTAATTTATTTTCTAAATAGAATACAAAAATATGTTAAATTTAATTTTAATATTATTTTAAACTCTCATTTTAAATTATATAATTGGTATTAAGTTAATCATAAGATATACATTTTTTAAATATGATATTAGATAATAAGTTTATGTATTTGCATTTTTATTTTTATTAGTTCATTTCCTAATCATTTGATCAAAAATATATTGTAGTAGAAAATTATCCGTACACATCAAATACCTATTTTGTCAGTTTTTATTAAAATATAATTTTCTCTATAGATAAATATATTACAATTTTTTAGATATTTTCTTTTTTTTTGTAGTTTTGGGAAGAGTGTAACAGAAAATAAACTTAATTACAATGCGTTTTTATATAAAACATATATATTCATAGGTATTACCTTTCTTATGTATTCCTTTTTATTACCTATGTGAATTTGTAAAAACGAAAATAAAACCTAATTAGGAATTATTAAGTAAAATGGAACTAATATAATTTCTAGTAATGTCAATTAGGTAAAAAATAAAATCATTAAGGATAGTGTTGTAATTGGCCATTTTCAGAATTAACGTGATAGTGACACGTAGGAAACTGACTTCTTAAATAATATTGTAGCGAAGAAATTGTGCAAAAGTAAATGTTTCTGGGAAAATCTACAAAAAGTCGGCAAATTATTTTTTTTTCACTAAAAACACACACAAAAAGAAAATGATTTAAAGAAATTTCATTAAAAAGGTAAATAAAAGTTTTATCCTTATTCTATAATTAGTTAAGTATAAATAAATAAGAATTTTTTTTTTCTAAAGAACTTTATTCAATATTCAAAGTTTTCAAATTTTGTTTTTTTTACTTTTTTTTTTACTTTTTTTTTTTACTTTTTTTTACTTTTTTTTTTACTTTTTAGTTCTATTTCAAAATTATTTTTTTTTAAATACTTTTAAAGTATTATTTGCAACTTTAAATCTTAAATTTTAAACCTAAACTCCATCCCCTAAGAACTCACCTTAAAATCTAAATTATAAATTTAGATTAGTTAACCTTAAGGTTATAAGTGTATTTTACCTCTTTAATAAAATTTATTTGATTATTTTGACTTTTTAAACTACTTTTGTGAATAAAACGTTTTAGTACTATTCTAGGATACTTTTCTAAATTTTTTGTTTGTGTGCTCTTCATTTTGTTTATACTTTTGTTTTGTATAGTTTTCAGATACAGTTTTAATAGAAAAAAGTAAGTTTATACATTTATATGGATGTGTCCGGCTTGACACAATGGGTTGAATGAAGATTGGGCATTCGGGTCTTGACACATCCAAATTCTTATCGGATCCGAATTTTTCAGATCTTAAATATTTGAACTTAATTAGATATTTGATTTTTTCGCTTATGTTTGGGTCGTATTTTCTTGACGGGGTTAGGTTTGGATTTATAATTAAAATATTTGTAAAATATGTGTAGTTTTTTAGGTAAATAGTAGCTTCGTGTCTGTTCATGTATTTAAGATCTAAAAATACTCAAATTACCCGAACACATAAACTGAATACACACCCAAAAACCTAAAAAATTCAGATATCCAAATAACCCAAACTGAAAACCCAAACTACCCTAAATATAATTTATAAATGCTGAAATTTTACGTAAAATCTGACACTATCCGAAAACACAAGCACAGAACTTAAAAATATATGCAATGACGAAATATATATTATCCACCAAAATATATCTAATACAAACAAAAAGGTTTCGGGTACTCTGATCATACGGACCCAAACCAAACTGAAATCCATAAATCCAAAATAAATATTTTAACATAGACCCATACCTAAAAGCAAACTAACTCGGGTCAGATTTGATTGAGGTTTTCGGATCAGAGTAAAATACCTTAGTCTAGGTTGAACCAGATTAAAAGCTGGTGCGCTCCTTTTATTTTCTGCTCTGTTTCCTTTACTTGGAATAACAAACGACTTGACTTAAAGAGTGAATGTAAGTTGAAGATATTGTTGGAGTAAGCTTGAAATAGCTTGAGAAGCAAGTTACCTAATCCTAATGAGTTGAGATTATCTATAAGGATTAGGAAATATTCTAATATATTAAACCTAATGAGTTTAGGAAAGTTTGAGTTATATATAAGGAGATGCAAAGTGTGTTGCATAACTTATGAGTTTATGAGTTTGAGAGCTTAAGGTTTTTGAGAGAGTTTTCCTTAAGAGAGATTAGTAAGAAGAGTTTCTTATTTGAGTTCATAATCTTGTGTTTGAGACTTTGATATTGAGTAGCTTGATTTCTATATTTGGTATCAGAGCTACAGGTTCTAAACTATGTTCGATATTGAGTCAATCCCTAAATTCAGATTTGAGCAAACTTCACAGGGAATTGTAATAGTTATGGGGGAAACTTTATCTGACACGGATAAAGAGATGACAATAACGAGTAAGATTGCGGTTCAATCTCAAGAAACCCTCACATATCGCAAGTCTATAAAGAAGAAGAAGAATATAAGTGTGGATCAAAGGCGTGATTTTGATTCTGGTGATGATGGTGGAAAACAATCGAAGAAGAAGGAAAAGAAGCACAAGAAGGTATCTGGTGGAGATAAGATAGTAAATACCGAAAGCTTCAAAGTTAGTGGAGGAAGTCGAAGACATGAGAAATTTCTGCTGATGTTTTATGAAAGGACAGGGAAAACTTGGAAGAGGGGTTACCTGCTGTATGAAGTTAAAACTAATGAGGACAAAGAAGATAAAACTGACGAAGAAGCTTCTGATCAAGTCTGTGAGTGGATTGGGAATTTGTCTAAATTATGGAAACGTGACCTTGAGTATCTAGATACAGGGCAGAATGATGATATTAAGAAGAATGATCTGAAGAAGGAAAATAAAAAGAAGAGCAGAAAGAAAGTGAAACTGAGCATGGAAGATGTCAAAATCGATAACCCTAATGCTGTTTTGAAATTCAGAAACACGGATCCGTTGAGGGAGCTTCAAGCCACGACTTCAGAGATGGTTCTTGGTGGTACTGATCTTGTTGGAATGGCTCGTACTAGTCAGGGTAAATTGGTTTTGGTGTTACCTATATTGAAATCTTTGATCAATGGACCTGCAAAGAGAAAAATAAGAATAGGTATGGCAGGCAGGCCACCGAGTGTTTTAATACGTTTACCCACCAGAGAATTGGCCAAGCAGGTGTTTGCTGAATTTGATGCATACGAAGGATCTGTTGGTTTAAATTCTTGCTGTGTCTATGAAGGTTTTCAAGAGACTAAACTAAATAGAGGTGCTGGCATTGTAGTTGGTTCACTTGGTCGTATCAAGGATCATATTGAAAGGCACACCATTGCTACTAGGTTTCTGAAACGAGATAAGAAGACTATCAACCTTGTTGGTTATGATAAAATAAATGCCAGTAATAATGTTAGACACATTGCTCTTGCCTGTAATAAGAAAGCTATATTAAGGTTGATTCCTTACACCATCAGTTTGTATAGTAGTGGAGGTAGTAAAATCTGTTTCACTAAGAGTAAAGATCAAGCTTCTGAGCTTTCTGGTTTGTTACCCGGAGCTAGAGCTTTGCACGGTGACATTCAACAATCACAACGTAAGATTACTCTTGCTGGATTTAGAAAGGGTAAGTTCTCGACATTTGTTGCTCCAAACGTTACTGCTCGTGGTCTAGATGACGTCCAGTTAATTATCAAGTGTAAGTCTCCATGTGATGAAGATTATATCCGTTGTTCAGACCAAATAGGGGGAGACGATAACACTGGGGTTGCGGCTATATTATACGCTTCTAGAAAGTCTGGCGTGTCTAGGATTGAAAAAGAAGCTGGTAAAAGGTTTGAACATGTTTCTCCACCACAGCCTAATGATATTGCCAAAGCTGTTGGTATGGAAGATGCTGAGAAGATTATACAGGTCTGTGACAGTGTGGTTCATGCATTTATGACGGCGGCCAAGGAGTTTGCAGATGAGTATTTTGGTACAGAGTCTGATCTTGGTGAAGGCGAAAAGCTCTTGAAAGATAGCTTTCTGAGACAGATGGTAAAGGAGAAAGATGGAAACAGAAAAACTCAAGTGACTGGTGAATCAGAGATTGAGCACTTTGAGAAAGATGAGGACTTGGTACTTGATCAAAACAAGTTTGAGACTCTGTATCATCATAAGGAGAAGAACGCAGGGGATATTATTATGAGGCAGTCTAGAGTTTATGAAGACTCTGTGAAAAAGAACAATGAGGATAGAATGAAGATTGGTCAAGGCTGTGTTGAGTATGAGAAACCAGAGATTTTTCTTAAATTGGCTCTCGAGGATCCTTGCATATTAGCTCATAAGGAGAATGAGTCACTACGAATTTTGTGGAGAACTCTTGGTCTGAAAAGAGATGCTTCCTATTTTAGATCATATGTTAATACATCTAAGGTATTGAGGATTCTGGACGCAAAGGCCAAGAATTTTCAGCTTGGAAAGGTATCATCCAAGAAAACATCTTTGCCAAGTAGAATTGGTCTAACAAAGAAGTTGGTTGTTATTTACCTAATACCGTCTAGTAAGGGTAGGAAGGGGTCACAGAAACGAAGTATGAGTAAGATGGAAGAGACAAACGTTGACGCGGGTTCTTTAGCTACACCAATATCAAAGAAAAAGATTGTGAAGAAAGACAATCCTGAAGGAAATGAAGACTTTATGGAAACTAACCTTGAAAAGCTTGAAGATAGAACCAAGACTGCAAAGACGTTACTTGCACAATCTAAAAAGGAGAAAGCACAGAAAGGTTCAATGAAACCAGCTGCAAAGATGAGACTTGATAAATCAGTCCACTCAGATACCAAGAAAAGGAACTCGGAAGGTGGAAGCACGGAGATGCAGATTGCCGAGTCGTTAAAGAGCAAGAAGAAGAATGCTCGTGCAGTGACGCCTTCTACCAAAGAATCTGAACAAATTCTCAAGAGCCACCCCAAGAGGAATCGTATAGTTATTGAGGAAGAGAAGCGTATACAGTCTCTCAGATTACCAAAGACAGAACACGTCCAAGTGGTACTTCAGAGGTTAGAGAATCTGAAAGTTGTATTAGGTGATATCTCCACTAAAGTTAAACGAGAGATGGCAGTGTGTTTCCTCATGAGTAATCCTGAAGAAAAGTGGAATGGAGAAGTCTATTATGATACAATGAAATATGGGGTGAAGCGATCAAAGTCTGAACAAGAAAGAGACAGAGATGCTATAAGATACATGAGGAACGTGGGCTGTCGTCTAACCAGACCGGAGCTATTTTGCTGTGTGAGGATGATAAGGCGAGATATGCAAAGATTTGAAGGGTTTCATAGAGCTGCAATGAAGATACATGAAACTACTGAGATACCAATTGTTGGGGATATTGGTAACTGCCAAAGAATTGACTCGGATGATGGCAAGAGCGTGTTTTATGATGGTGAAAGATCAATTGCGTGGGGTTCAAGTAAACAAGAGACTGTTGTGTTACCTTCATGTGAAGCTGAAGACATGGCATGGACAGAAGCCATGGAGCAAGCTATATGGTTTGAAGAGTTACATCGGCATACACCCAGGAGTGAACAGAGAAGCGATATCGTGATGAAAGCATTTGGGGAATTAAAATTCTAGGAGATGAGAATGATTATTGGAGTTCAAGATGTGAGTGAAGAAGATGAGTTCAAACTTAAGGGGGAGAATGTTGGAGTAAGCTTAAAATAGCTTGAGAAGCAAGTTACCTAATCCTAATGAGTTGAGATTATCTATAAGGATTAGGAAATATTCTAATATGTTAAACCTAATGAGTTTAGGAAAGTTTGAGTTATCTCTATAATATTATTTGAGAAGTCACTTTCTTACGTGTCGCGCTTACGATAACTTTCACGCTGGTTGATTACTATGATACCCCTAATGAACTAAAAATATATTTAAATATTATTATTTCCTTTTTAAAATCTTTCAAATAACAATATAAAACAAAAAGGAAATATTTATAAAATTTACAAAACTATTTAAAACGAAAAAATAAGTATATATAATATGGTTTCATAAAAAAAAGAAAGTTTACAAAATATTAATATTTAACTTAAATATATTTTTAATAGCATAAATTATACTTTTTAAGTAATTATACTTTTATATCTATATCTTTTTAGATGAAAAAAAATTGTATGTAATGTGTTTTCATATAAAAATTTCATACAAATAATCTTGATTTTATAAAAAGAAATATTTTTTCTTTAAAAAAATAACATTATTATTTCCTTTTTAAAATCTTCCAAATAACAATATAAAACAAAAAGGAAATATTTATAAAATTTACAAAACTATTTAAAAACGAAAAAAATAAGTATATATATATAATATGGTTTCATAAAAAGGAAAGTTTACAAAATAGTAATATTTAACTTAAATAGATTTTTAAATAGCATAAATTATACTTTTTAAGTAATTATACTTTATATCTATAATTTCTTAGATAAAAAAATTGTATATAATGTGTTTTCATATACAAATTTCATACAAATAATCTTGATAATAGAAAAAGAAATATTTTTTCTTTAAAAAAATAATTTCAACAATAAAATATATATTTTTCAAAGTAATTAGTTTTTGTATATATCTATCTATTTTATTAGATGATTACATAAATAATTAAGTAACATAAACTGATATATGTTTAATTGACAAAAAAAATTATAATTAGTATATTTATTTGATTATAATATCTTACATTTACAGCAAAAATATAAATTATATTTTACTTATATAATATAATTTCTCAAAACAATTATATTTTTAATGCATATTTTAAGAGATATTAAAAACAAAACTAAAAATAAATTTAATAATAAACATCTTTTAATCAAATAACTACAGTTTCTTTAAAATATCATAACACTATATAATTTAACGAGGTTGATACATTATATTTTAATAGTTAAAATTATATGTTTTCTTAATAACTCTTTTGATGTTTAATTTTCTGTTTTTATGTTTGTGGAATTTAATATAACCATAATCAAAATACTTAAATAAATCAGAATTCCTTATTTTAAAAATTATTTAAAATAAATTTCAGTTTACCATCCAATCAATCTAAGGCATAAATTATTTAAAATTTATAAATATTTAATTATTGAAAATATTGATATGTATTCATAAGCTTCCAAAAATTTATTATTACTTATATATGTAATTTAGAATCAGACACTTTAGTTTTTATTTTTTTCATTCTAAGCACAAAAAATCTTAAAATACATAATCTTACTAAGATATACTTATATTTCTAAGATAACAACCAACATAAATGTATATAAAACAATTAATCAAAAATTTAAGATATTTAGAATAAAAAAATTATAGTTGAATTCAGAGAATAGATAGAATCCAATATATATATATATATAAATGATAAAACTGACTAAATATAATATATATAAAATTATATATAACTAAAATAATATAATATTATTAATATAAATTATACATAAAAACTATAAATTAATATAAAAGTTAAAGTAAATATCAATCAACTATTATAATATATTTATTTTATAAATATTTATGCCCGTGCATGAGCACGGGAAAATCACCTAGTATATAAGGAGATACAAAGTGTGTTGCATAACTTATGAGTTTGAGAGCTTAAGGTTTTTGAGAGAGTTTTCCTTAAGAGAGATTAATAAGAAGAGTTTCTTATTTGAGTTCATAATCTTGTGTTTGAGACTTTGATATTGAGTAGCTTAATTTCTATAGATATCGTATAAAGATGTTCATTCGGTAACAAGAGCAAAACAACTCGTCACTGCAGTAATATAAGAAAGCTGCGGTTACTTTCTCGAAGATTATAGCAACCTAAAACCCTTCACTACCAGTAAACATCTAAACTAACTCTAGCAGACACCAGAATTTTTTTTTTTTTTTTTTCTTTTCCACCAAAATGATTCGTTCTGAGCATTCTTTTTTTCTAAAGTTGTTTCTGAGCATTCAAGAAATTGTCCTAAAGGAGGTTTTTTCTTCACGAGTCTCTGGGTTGAGATTAGGTTTTCATGGCAGAGAGATATTTGCTGGTTTTCTATAACAAAACCTGGGGATATATCTTTTGTTCTTTGTTCGTTTTGTTCTTGTTGGTTCGTAGAGGAATAAATGAGCATACTGTTCTTGCCAATTACTAGGTTAAAAAGACACTATGTACCTCCCAAGTTGAGTTGAAAGAGTTGGGTCAACCGACAATACATCCGAGAATGATGCTCTTATTTTTGTGACCGGTATGGAAACATAATATAAATGAGATATAGTTTGCAATAATAATTTGAGTATGACAAGATTGGATCAGACAACCTTTATTTTATATTATTTCTCAGCCTCGATTTACAAAAATCTGAAGCATACAAAAAACTACCTGAAGACATGAAAATGAGAATACCTGCATCACACATTAGTGGTCGATAGGTGGTTGTGGCGGTGGCCTCCGCTTCTCTTCTCGTTTTCTTCGTTCCTCCTCTGCTCTTTTAGCAGCTTCTTCTTCTCTCTTTCTCTCCTCTTCTCTTCTCATAGCTTCCTCTTCACGTTTCTTTCTTTCTTGTTCTTCACGTTTCTTTCTTTCCACCTCTTCTCTCTCCTTCCTCTGCCTCTCTTCTTCTCGTCTCTTAGCCATCTCTTCTTCCCTTTCCCTTTCTTCTTTTCTCTTCCTCGCTGCTTCCTTTTCTTTCTCACGTCTTATCCTCTCTTCCTCCTGTTTCTTGGCCTCCTCTTCTTCTCTCTCCCTTGCCTCTTCTCTCTTTCTTGCTTCTTCTTCTGCTTTTCTTTTACGCTCAGCTTCGTGTTCCTCACGTTGCCTCCTCTCTTCTTCTCGTCTCCTAGCAGCCTCTTGCTCCCTCTCCCTTTCTTCTGCTCTCTTTCTTGCTTCCTCTTCTGCTTTCTTTTTCCGCTCAGCTTCTTCTTCCTCACGTTGCCTCCTATCTTCTTCTCGTTTCCTAGCAGCCTCTTCCTCCCTCTCCCTTTCTTCTGCTCTCTTTCTTGCTTCCTCTTCTGCTTTCCTTTTTCGCTCAGCTTCTTCGTCCTCACGCCTCCTTCTTTCTTCCTCCCGTCTCTTAGCAGCCTCTTCCTCTCTCTCCCTTTCTTCTTCTCTCTTTCTTGCTTCCTCTTCTTCTTTCCTTCTCCGCTCAATTTCTTCTTCTTCACGTCTTTTCCTCTCTTCAATCTCTCTCATAAGCCTAGAAAGCTCCACCTCCGCACAAGACACACACTCCAACATCAAACTATCTTTCTGAGCTCCCAACAGCCTCTCAATAGTCTCATATCTCATGTTGAAAGACGTGGCAAGTACATCCCGGTCGATCATCTTTAGAACCGAGTTCTGCCCTACTAGGAACTGAGGGTGGTTTTTCTTAGCCGACGTGCTGAATCCCATAAACATGAATGAACTGTTTATAAAAGACAACTGAGCCATAGGATAAAACTGCGGCACAACAAAAACATCCCCATCCTCAACCTTGAACCTCTCACTATCGTTCTTGCTTTGATGCGACGGGTTGTTAACAACCCGAATCATCCCTTCTCCTTGTAACACAATCGATATCTCCCAAGCATTGGGGTTCCAGTGAGGTGCCATCATTGACCCCTAGAAATTAGATACACAAGTTTTAAGTCACATGTAAACAAGACAAGAAATCAAGATCAAGGCAATGTGGTATCAATTAGTTTTAAAGACTTAACCTTCGTTAAATTAACCATATAAACTCCAAAACTCGAACCCTTTAAAGCATCCATATCCTTCTCGTCAACCACTATGCTCTGGCCATGGACATTCTCAAAGTCTGGATCAGACTCGAAAACATTGTAAGCACTGGACTTCTTCTTCTTCTTCTTCTTACTATTAACAACCGGTTTCATCTCCAAGTGATCAGTCACGTCTTCAACCCTGACAAAGAGTTTGGCTAGCCGTGATCCCCACGTCTCCTCCTCCAACCCTTGTGTTCTGTTTCTTGGCATAGCATTTGTGATCAGCGGAGGCTTCACTGCATCTCTTAGCCTCCCGAAAACATCCTCAGGAACCTTAATCACATATCATAAAACCCACATACTATTTAATAAACAACACGATGCCAAATGTAGTCTATGTAGAATCTGTCTCGTGAATACAAGTAGAAACCACATACCGCAAATGCTGACCGGAGAGTTCTCTCATCAAATCCCCATAACAAGTCTCTAATACTCGAGTACGTTCGTAGACATGGATCATATAAACACTTCCCGACATCGAAGATTGCGTAAACTCTAAGCTTATCTGGAACTTCATCTCTCTCTAAGTTGCAATGTAGGTAGAAAACTGTACCGTAACGCAGCCTAAAAACATCTCCTCGTTTTAGTTCTAGCGTCCTCTCTTTCTCCTCGTCGATCCAATTCAAAACCCCACTCCCTATACAATCACAACATCACCTAAGTAAATAAACCCTAACCATGCTAAGAAAAAAATGTATACTTTTAATTTTAGATGTAAATAGTAAAAAAGTGTACATATAAATGTTCAGTTTAATTAAATTCTAGGGTTATTTAACTAAATTAAATCAAAGTACGTTAAATAAGACTTGTACAGTTTTAATTTGTTAAATTAATCGATTTTAATATAGATATAGCTCTGGTTTAGATAAATTTGGTACGGTCCAAGTATCCAGCCGTATCAAGATGGGACTTTACGTACCAGTGTGGACAAAGAAAACCATGTCGGAATGGAGAAGAAGAGGAAGCAGGAGTCCGTTTGGCTCCAATGTTATGAATTGAATAATGTATCCATCTCCGATATGGACGGCTGATATCTCTCCAAACTCTGTAGCAACGAGCTGCGTCCGTTGATGCCTTTTGATCAGAAGTGGCGACTGAAAGCCGTCGTTTGGGTCGGAAAACGAATTGGTCCTGACGAATAAGGTAAGGAGACATAGTTGAATAATCGTAAACTTCGACATCCTTTGATAGAATTGAAAAGACTCTTGAGTTGCGGTATATATCTCTTCACCGGTAACGTCTTGTTGGTGTTAGATTCATGGAGAGGTAGGGCTCGCTTTCGGACACGCGTCGTTATAGGTGAACACGTGTATAGTTGTATCGACACGTGTATCTGATGATTTGAATAAATGAACAATATATGATGTCTTGACATATCATTAGGATGACTATCGGTTAGTGTGTGTGATCATATGAAAATATAATCACGTAGTTGATTGGTGTAATCGTTAACGCGACGGTAGGAACCGTAAGTGTTTTCTTATATATATATTTATAAAATTACAGAAAACTTAAAATACAATTCATAAACTATAGTTTTAAACGTTGACAAAAAAAAACTATAGTTTTAAACAAAATGGATTACAAAGCATAGATCAAAAATCAGTGTAGAACTATGATGTTTACTTAAAAACAATCATACCCTTCTAAACATAATGTAGTTGTAGTAATAAACTGTCAAATCAATCCTTTGATGATTTTAAGCAAAAGAAAAAAAAAACGAAAACAAAAGTCCATCACCTAATCGAAGCAAATAAAAGATTGTGAGAAAAAATAATCAAATTCAGACACAGAATTTAAAGTTTAAATAAAGAAAGATCATGAGTGAGTTTTTTAAGATATGGGTGTATGAGTAATGATATTGATTCAATATGATTAAGAGTCTAGAGTACTCATGTAAACATCAATCAATTTCTGTATATATAAAAACTAGGGTAAACATGCCTCATGGACGAAGTGTAATTGAAAAATAATATCAAAATATTTTAAATTTTATTTATATATTTCATATATTTAGACTATTTTCAAGACTGTCTTTTTTTTTTGAAACACAATTTTCATTAAAAAGGCCTTAGCCGGCGTTAGGTAGAGCATTGATGTCTATCTCAACAGACAAACCATGTTTAGCTAAACCATCAGCCACAAAGTTCTTCTCACGAGGGATCCAAACAAAAGAGATAAGTTCAAAAGAGCTAGCTAAAGAGATAATATCAGCAGTGATGCCATACAATTCTGCGTTTGGTAGACCAAATTTTACAATCTTAACCAAAGTCTCCGAGTCCGTCTCACATCTGATCCGGGGAAAGTCCAGCTCCCTGCATTTCAAAAGGGCTTCACGCACAGCTAGGGCCTCCGCCATGAGAGGTGATCGGACGTGGAAAGATGGGATAGCGAAGGGAGAAGAACCCGTAGCTTGCTCGATCGTCCATCCAAGACCCGCAAGCTGACTGTTCTCGCTCCACGCTGCATCGGTTCTAACTACAACACATTGTTCTGATGGTTGCTGCAGAGGAGATTTCTTTCCTTCCAGAGGAGATTTTTCCTGGCATTGAGTCCATTCCCGGGCTGCCGCCACAGCTCTAGAGATGATATCTGATGCAGAGCATCGTTTATCACTAAAAACCAAGCTGTTTCTCTCAATCCAAAGTTGCCAAATTATCCATGGGAGGAGAGATCCCTCTGTTACGCCAGTAGGGGGGAGATTCTTCCTGGTTAGTAACTCAGGCCAAGCCGACTTCAGCTCCATTGATCCGTTGTAAGAGAAGCTCGGGGAGAGAGGGGCGAGGGCCCATACATGTTGCGCAAATCTGCAATGGAGAAACATATGATCAATCGATTCAGGGAGTCCACAGCTTTTACACTTCCCATCAACTGCAATGTGTCTAGCTAAGAGTTGGTCCCCGGTTGGCAAAGCACTGTGAAACATTCTCCATAGGAGGAGTTTGATTTTTGGGGCGGTATGGAGATTGCATACGCCTTTCTTCCAGTTAAAAGATGGGTTCTGCAACACCGTTGGATCAAATTCGGGAAGTGTGGCTCTAGCAGCAGCATATCCAGATTTTGTGGTGAATTCACCTGAGTCATTATGTAACCATATGAGCTTATCAGGTGCCCCCGTGAGACTTGGTTTGAGGGCCAGTATATCCCGTTCATGGAACGGTAAGACCTGTCGAATTTTATCGAGGCTCCATTCGTTTTTACCATCAATAAACAGGTCTGAGACAGTTAAGTTCATAGCTGCTTCAGGTGCCGGTCCAAGTGGTCTAACCTGCGAAGGCAAACTTAACCAAAGGGAGTTCCAGATGTTAATATCAGAGCCATTTCCCACAGTCCAGCCGGAGTTGTCTAGGATCATATCTCTTCCCAACATTATTCCCCTCCATCCATGGGAACATGACGAGCTTAAAGAGCAGGTGAGGAAGGGTTCATCAACACAATACTTGCCTAGCAGGATTCGTGCTAGCAAACTTCCAGGTTGTTTAACAATACGCCAACTTAGCTTAGTGAGAAAGGCATCATTTATACTCTGTATATCACGAAAGTCTAGTCCTCCGTGCTCTTTTGGGAGAGTCATAGTAGACCAAGCGATCCATGACATCTTGCGGGTACCATCTCGATCGTCCCACCAGAAGCGCGTGAGGGCCGACTGGATCCTTTGGTAAAGTGAGACCGGGAGTTTAAAACATGTCATAGCGTATGAGGGGATGGGAGAGAGGACGCTTCTGAGCATGGTCATTTTTCCTGCTTGAGAAAGGTGCCGGTTGGACCATCCACTAGCTTTTTGTTTGATCCTGTCCACAATAGAAGAGAAGAGGTCTCGTTTCTTTCGGCCAAAAAGTTCTGGAAGGCCAAGGTATTTCCCGATCCCGCCTTCCTTCTGGATGTCTAGAGTGTCTTTTATGGACGTTTTCAGTGTAGCCAGGGTCCAACAGGAGAAAGTAATGGACGACTTATCAGGGTTGATGAGTTGCCCCGAGGCATCTTCATATCTTCGCAGAATTATTTTAAGAGCTAGGCTGCTTTCCTTGCTGGCTTTGATGAAAAACATCGTGTCATCCGCAAATAGGAGGTGGTTAAGCCGGGGACTCCCCCGAGCTACACGGATTCCCGGTAGAGAACCCTCCTCTTGTGCTTTGTTACATAAACCCGAGAGAACCTCACTACACAAAATAAATATGTATGGTGAGAGAGGGTCTCCTTGACGGATCCCTCTACTCGGTGTGACTTTTCCTCTAGGTGAACCGTTGATGAGGAAAGAGTAAGTAACTGTGGACACGCATTGCATAATCCAAGCGATCCATTTCGGATGAAAGCCCAGTCTTTGGAAGACAAATTGAATAAATCTCCATTCAAGTCGATCGTATACTTTGCTCATATCGGTTTTCACCGCCATGGCACATCGTTTTTCTGCTTTTGAGGTTTTGAGAAAGTGAAGCACCTCATGTGTGATCAAGACATTGTCGGAAATTGCACGTCCCGGCACAAACGCAGATTGAGTCTCAGAGATGATTCCATCTAGCAGCGGTTTTAGCCGCATTGTTAAGGTCTTTGAGATGATCTTATAGTAGACATTGCATAGGGCGATGGGTCTATAATCAGCCACCTTCTGCGGACTATGAATCTTGGGAATAAGACGGATGTGAGTCTCGTTTATCTTCTCCGGGAGAGTTTCTGTCTCAAAAAAGTGCTGAATCTCAGTCACTATATCAGCGCCAATCTCATCCCAATTCGAGTGAAAGAAACCCGCTGAAAACCCATCGGGCCCCTGGGCCTTATCAGCATGAATGGATAAAACCGCAGACTTGATTTCCGAGGGGGAGGGGGTCTGGATAAGGAGTTGATTCTGTTCCTCCGTAATCATCGGTGATAAGGCATAGTTAACGGTTCTTCACTGTTCCCTTCCACTGAAGAGAAAAGGTTCTGGAAATAATCCACTATCACCGTTGCGATCTTGTCCTCTTGGAACACCACGTTGTCCTCCGTGTCTTCTATAACTGAGAGAGCATTGGCGCGTTTCCTGTTCTTTGCTGTCGCGTGGAAAAAGCCCGTATTCCTGTCCCCTAGACTCAGCCACAGCAGTCGACTCCGCTGCCTCCAATAATTTTCTTCCGCCAGGTAAGCACTATTAAGTTCTTCCGAGATCCTCATAATTTTTGCTGTGTCATTTGTTGGGCTGGTTAAGGCTTCCTCAAGCTCTATCTTTTTCTCGTCAATAATCAGTCTACTATTGCGACTTTGAGTTTTAGTCCAGTCAATAATGACTCTTCTAACAATGGATATTCAGTCATTGACAGTTGAGTTTGTGGCGCTTTTCCAAGCATTACAAACAAGGGATTTGATCTCCGGATTATCCCTCAGACGCCGGTCATAACGAAAGAGCCCTCTACGCTTTTTCTTTTCAGGCTCGAAGTAGGATACAAGAGGCTTATGATCTGAGCCCTCGTATAACATGTAGTGAGATCGTGCTGTTGGGAATAGTTCTGCCCAGGAACTATTTGCAACTGCACGATCAAGGCGACAGCGAACCAGATAGTCTCCCCGTTGTCCTCTCCATGAGAGAAAATCACCGGAATGTTGTAAGTCAAAGAGGTCTCCCTCCGAAAAGAAAGTGCGCAGGTCCGAAAAGGATCCCTCTGGGCGAGCTGGGCCTCCGTCTTTCTCCTCATTGGAGATTAAGTCATTGAAATCTCCAATCAAAAACCAAGGTGAATCGCGGGCATCATTTACAGGGATCAGCTGTTCCCAAAGTGATCGTCTCTTGATTCTATCATTATCACCGTAAATAAAGGAGGCATAGAAAATCTTTCCTTCATAAGTAATAGAGGTATCAATACAATTTGCCGAAGCACTTACTATTTGGAGATTGATCTCTTGTTTCCAAAACAGGGCTTGGCCTACCGCTCCATGACCTATAGGTGACACCAGGTACTTGTTTTCATACTGCAACTCTGCTGTTTTTGACGTAACAACAGGATCGGAGTTTTTTGTTTCCATGAGGAATAGGATATCCGGAAAAATGCTCTTCTTTATCTCCCTCAATCGTCGGCCTGTCCGGGGATTCCCCAACCCCTGACAGTTCCAGCTTACAATTTTTAAGGACCGGGAAGAGATGGATTGTGAAAATCCATCCTTCTCCTAGTAGAAGCCGGAATCAAGTTGCAAATCGGTTGGTTTTCCGAAT